GGGGAGAAGCGGGGACAGGAAGTGTTACCACCACGTGCAGCACGCGCACGCCGCCGCCCCCGGCCGGGTCAGGCCGCGGCGGCGGTCACGGGGTCTAGGTTGCGGGGAGAGCGGACAGGGCACGGGGTAAAAACGCGCCCACCCCGCACGGCCGCTAACGGTCCACGGGGAGCAACCCCCGCCGCCAGGCCTGGCCCAGCCACGCGGCCCCGGCCTCACCTTGGGGATAACACGCCCAGTACCTGCCCCAAGCACCGCGACCCCTGCCCAGGTCCAGACCCGCTCGCCTCCCTCCAGTACCTGTCCGGCGCCGCGTTTAAAGAGCACCGTCTCGGCCCCGCCATGGCCTGCCATAGCAAAAGTTTGACGGGCCGGTGGCCTCCACCACTCAGCCAGCGCGCGTGCGCACCCCTTCACACTCCCGCCCCGTAGAGGGGTGGAGCTTGATTGGTTGCGGCAGCTGCCTACCATCGGCACGTCCCTTTACCAGTGATCCACCCCCTTGCTAGGGAGGAAGCGGACTGCCTGCTGCCCCCTCCCAGCCGCTCCCTTCTCCGCACGAAGAGCTACAGCCGCTCCCCCCAACCCAATCCCCTTGTCCCACAGCAGGGGACCTCCAAGGGGATGGAGTTTAAGAAGGGGGCCTCCAAGGCTCTTATCACCCCTTCCCTCATCCCCCACTTTGTGCCAAATCCTCTGCGCTAAATGGGTAGGGGTAATCTGTTCAGTTCCTATTTAAATGAATGTGCTTTCCCAAAAGGAGGCAGGAGTACAGACAAATTCACCCAGTGTCCAACTGCTCTTGTGCAGGACATTTTATTTTCTTCTGGAAGAACAGACTAAAGGCATTATTACCCTAATGCAGTGCTCAAAGTGTATGATTTTAAACAGGGATAAGAGAGATGGAAAGGAAATGTAGGACAGTCTCAGGTATTCCCCCCCCCCCCCATGTCAATAGAGCAAGATAGACATCTTAGTGCAAGAATCAGAGTCCAAAATTCAGGAGATCAAGACAGTTCAGAAAATTCTGAGTGAAAGTTATGTAAGGAAATATCAGGTTTTGTAATTATGTAGAGATAAACTGCTTATATAAACCATTTAATGAGTGCTGTGGCTTGATAATGCCTGTTTTACTCCTAGAAACATTTCCAGTTCTGAATTTTGCCTCTGGCATGGTAGAAGAGACCTAAAATGAGTACTAACCCTATTTGTTTAGAATATGGGTTAATATTAATTTTACTGAGCATGCTTGTGCTATTAGTACTGCTGTCAACACTGCCACCCTTGCAAGCAGTCCTGAACTAAGCAAGTTTCATTACACCATTTTTGCATTTTGCAATGAAGATAGGGAACACTACCTCTCTGTATAAGGATGATAGCATGTGTACAGCTTTTTGTTGATACTACTTTGATAACACAAGTTCTTGGCCAATTATTGATCTTTCTTTTATTGCCTCCCAGAAGAAATGTAAGAACAGTGGCAGAACAGGTGCAGATTATGCTATCAAGCAGTTGGATGCATGCAACTCCAACACAAATTACTGGGACCTGCACTGTCCTCATACCATTTGTTTATATTTATGCAGGGAAGAGGGAGTTTATTCAGATCTAGCACTTTTAAATGAAGCTAAACTTGTCTGAATTGACAGTTATCCTTAATAGAAGATCTGACAGATTGGGGAGAGCAAGACCTGAAATTAAGCTAACTGGTAGTTCAGACTACTTTCCATTTATTAATGTACTACGTAGGAACCAAAAGGAAACTAGAGTTTGCATCATCTTTGAGGCATGCATCAAAGGCTGAAGGAGGAGTGAAAGGTGAAAGTGGCATGACAATGAATAATTTTGCCTCCCCCACTGCATGCATAAATATATATGGGTAAAAGTTAGTTTAAGCTCCTTGAAACCTACCTTACCTGCTCCCAAGAAAAGCCAGTTTGCCCTGCTAGTGTTTACCTCAAAATCAGTTCATTGCCCCCAACAGACTCTGCCTTGCCTATGAAAGGAATCCCTGTTTAAGCCAATTTACCTCATTGTACATATCTACATTTCATCTGCATTTTGCATGGAGAATTGACAGTTAAAAATGCAGGTTTAAAAAAATTTGCCCTCCCATGATTTTTCTAAACAAATCTCAAAAATCTCACTTTAATAAAAAAAAAGGACTAATTTTTCTGAGCAGTAGTGGTTCTCCTGGACTTTCAGTTGAGGGTGCTCAGAAACTTCAAGAGGTTAGGCCATAGATCTGTGGTTATGAGGTTGCTGCCCTTCCCACCCAGACAATGTTTTAACTAGGTGAGGCTAAACTAAAAGTTTACAAGCAGATCTACTGTGGAAAAGATTACAGTATAAGATTAAACAAGTCATGCCAGTTTTTAGTCTTCTGAAAGTTACTGTTTTGAAAAATTAATTTAGATAAATCTGCACTGTAAAATAGCTTTTAATTCAAGCCCAGTAAAAGGTTATCCGCTGTACCCCATTTCAGATTAAACAATACTTCATGCAACATTTTATTGTAAAAATAATTTAAAATGAGATTTACAGTTCAGACCTTTACAAGTTTGAATGCATTGTACAAAGGTATTGGGCTTTTAAAGTAGTGTTCCACTGTGAATGATTGTTATACTTTAAGGGTCACGAAGAGGGTAACCTGGTCTAACTGTGGCTTTAATAGTGTAGTCACATAAGCCATTCAGTGAAGTCAACATTGTTAATAATGAAAGGTGCAGTTAAGCTATTGCGACCATTACTTAAACTACGCTTATTTGCATGCCTATAAGAGCGCTTGCAATTTTTTTGAAATAAGTATTCCAGGTAACTTAATGAAGTCTTGGTTTATTCAGCCTATACTAACCAAAAATTCTAAATAAGTGCAAATTGAATAAGTCTGCAAGTATAAGATAAACATTTACCATTTAATGGTAGGCCACTTTTACAAACAAGTCTGATATTTTAGGCCCTATAACTTGGTGTACTGTAACATTTTAGGTCATTTATGTAGCCACACAGTTTATTTAGCTTCTGCCTGAAGAGTCTTCTTCTCATTAGCTGCTTTCTGCTTTTGCTGCATGATTTCAGAGTCTCTGTAAAAAGACAGACATGTATTTAGAAAAATACTGAGCTACTGAAAATATTCCTTGATTGTTACTATTAGGCTTCATCTTACTTCAATTCTTGGTTTTCAACCAATGGAACAAAACCAAGTGCAACAGCATACAGTGGATCAAGACATTAAGCTTAAAAATGATCAGGACAATAGGTTGATAGCCCTGCAGAGGATCAGCCCAGATACCAAGTCTACCTGCCTGCATTTTACTACAATGAAAGAACTATTGATTTTTTTTATGTACCTGTCAACATTCCATTCTGGATGAACAGATATTTCCAAGGTAGCACTGAAGTTCTAGTCTGATACTTCTTCAGCAGAAGATGCATACAATAGAGGAATCCAAGCTCCAATATTTAAACCCAACTTCAGGTACTGATAATTTTGAGTTTGCCAATACTTGGCAGAAAATGGAAACCAAAGCCCTTTGGTATAGATATTCCAAAATCCAATTCACAGATTATGCTGTTCAGTCACATGAAATAAAGATATAGATATATAGCAAGCCCCAACAAAGATCACAAATCCTGTCTCATATGTTCTCATGAAAGTCAGGAGTCCGACAGCTTTTTACCTGCTTGTAACACACAGGGAAAGCATCTTTCAAACTGTAACCTTTATGTCAAGAGGATGTGTCTCTAATTTGACTGGCCCTGAAGCCAGCTATTTACTGGACCAGTTTAAATTTGAAAGTGTATTTGGAGGCAGTTGCTATTCAATTAAAGGCTGATTGCACACTTGATAGTTAGTTCTATAGTACAAGGTAGTACATTAAAGTCTTATCATTCAAGAACACTGTTGTGGCCTTGAGTCATGTTGTGACCAGATTTCACACTTAATTGCCTGGATCTTAGTTTTTAGTACAGATTGTGTTTAGTGTGATGCTTCCCCAGGGTTCTCAGGATCATGAAGCACCTCACCACTAGCATGAAATAGTCTGGTCTGTACCTGCTGTCGATCATCTCCCTGAAGACAACAGCCTCTGGCAGCACAAGCACTATCTTCCAGGCCTCTGCAGATCTTGCTCTCCATTCAGGTAGAGAAGCACACATGAATCCCTGAATACTTGGGAGTGTTCCCTGTAGTGTTCAACCTCTGATCCACTGAACACTTACAGAATTACCAGCACTGCTATTCTCAAAGGAACAGTACACACTAACATCTAAGATTCAACTGACAACCATCACTTTGCTTACCACAGCACTTAGATCTAGCTACAAACAATACGTTTTTCAAAGACTACAGTAAAGTGGCAGTAAATATTGGAAACAAAACAAAAACAATTAGGGCTGTCAATTAATTGCAGTTAACTCATGCATTTAAAAAATTAACTGCAATTAACTGCACTGTTAACCAATAGAATACCAACTGAAATTTATTAAATTTTTTTGGATGTTTCTACATTTTCAAATATATTGATTTCTATTACAACAGAACAGAAAGTGTACAATGCAAATATTTATAATACATCGTATTTTTCAATTCACCTCACACAAATACCGTAGTGCAATCTCTATCATGAAATTTTAACTTACAAGTTTAGATGTACAAAAAAAACTGCATTCAAAAACAAAATAATGTAAAACTTTAGAGCCTACAAGTCCACTCAGTCCTACTTCTTGTTCAGCCAATTGCTAAGACAAGACACTTTGTATTATATGTTGTAATTGAAATCAATATATTTGAAAAATGTGGAAAACATCCAAAAATATGTATAATATTTATATAACTAGTATTCTATTCTATTATTTTACAGCACAATTAATCACAATTTTTTAAATCGCTTGATAGCCCTAAAAATTATATGCTTTTAAAAAACTAAATTTAAGTTATTCTTTAAAAAGACCCACACCCAAAGTAGTCCAGTATTTTCAACCAAACCCGGTTGAGACCCCTTTTTCCATGAAGGAAAAGCACTCTCCTTTTACTCCCTCAATGAAGGGTGCCTGGGCATCCCTTCTGTCTCCTCAAATATACTCAAGCAAACCTTTGATATGCACCTCACAAAAAGGTTCTCTTCCCCCTCTGTTTTTCTTCCTATTAGTTTCATCTTACAATCCTTCATTTGTATTCAGTTCAGATGAATGGTAGGGGGACCCACTGTGAATGAGGCAATAGTGAATTTATAGATGAACAAATATTTCCTGTCTGTCTACTAGGTCAAGCTGCTTTTCAGATTGAAATGGCTAATTCCTTGTTTAGATAAGAAGGTACTACCACTTCCCTCCCAACAAGGAGGAAAAATCAAAGGACTACAGTAGAACCCAGAAGGGCATTTGAGGCCCATCCAAAACAGATTCAAGCTCAAGAAATACTATGGGGAAGCCAAGTCTGAGTAACCTAAAATATGT